GACCTGGGAAACATCCAGTTATTGAATCAACCATGAACTCCTCTGTGTACCAAAGTATTCTACAGTCAAATGTGGGGCCAAATGTCCGACTAGTCAAGCTTGGCTGAAATTGGGTTAGACAACAGGACATGATCCCAAGCACACCAGCAAATCTACAACAGAATAGCTGAGTAAGAAAATAATCAAGGTGTTGCAATGGCCCAGACAAAGACCAGACTGCAACCTGATTGAAATGCTGTGAGAGGTGTGCATAGGGACAGGACTTCCGACGCTGTGGGGCGGTCGCATGTTGAACTAGCTCTGTAACGGAAAGGCCATGAGCGACGAATTAGAAGCACTTTGCCCAGCAGAAAACATTACCTGCACACACAGGGCACATTGTATATTCACCTGGCAGTGAGAATGGCACCTCTGAAAACACAGTGGAGCCAGGATTTCTTCTGAGTGGGAAGAGGAGAGAGGCAAGTCAGACCAAGATGGCGGCTGCACATGATCTTAGAAACAGGACCTGACACCGATACTACACCTATGCAAGCAAAGAAAATAACCCTGTCTGAAAAACGCGTGGCAGATATGCTCTCTGAGCTCAGATCCTCTCTTCAAGCAGACTTCAGAACTATTTGTGAGGAAATTAGAAAGGAAGTCCAGTAACTGGGAACAGGAACATCTGCACTAGAAGATAGGACTAATGAGCTGTGTACTGCCAATAAATGAACTGGTGAATAAAATTCATAAAATAGAGGCTGACCATAAGCACTTAATGGGGAAAATGGCAGACAGGGAGGGCAGATCCCACTGCAACAACATCCGCATGCGGTGGGTCCCTGAATATATATTGGGTGATGACTTTCCAAAATATCTGGTTGAAATATTTAAGGCCGTCTTACCGTCTTTGGCATTTTCGGAGCTCCTGATCGACTGAGCACATAGGGTGCCGATACCTAAAAACCTAGCTTCAGATGTCCCACAGGATATTGTGGCCCGTCTACACCATTTTAAAACGAGATGCAATCCTGTCAGCTCAGAGTAAGGCTGCAACGATGCCACCTGAATATGCGCAAGTCTCTCTGTTTACAGACCTCTCGGCCATGACTATGGCTAGAAGGAGAGAAAATGATCAACATCACAAAATGTCACTGCAATAAAGATTCCCTACCGATGATGTTTTCCACATAAGTTGTTAATTTCGAGAAATGGCACCATGACGAAGATAGATGACCCAGAAGATGATATGAACATCCTGCAGCCCTGGGGCCTCTATAGGAGTTTTCAAGAAGCACCAGGCAAGGCATCCCCGAAGAAATTAACTCCACAATGGTCAAAAGCTGCTTGAGGGATCTTACCAATATGAGGATAAAGAGTCTGAAGGGACACTTGCTGGATTTACTTTAATATATATTGAGCATAACCAAGCTTATAAACTGGAATACTCCCTTGAGGTGATTAAGGTTTTGTGAGTAACGACTTGTAGTCAGTATACAGGTGTGGGAGACGGAAAAGTAAGCCCAATAAGAGTTTTTTTTTTTTATTGCTCACTGGGCAAGTTCTCACCGCACATAATTTATGGCTAGATTTCCATAATTCTATCTCCTCTATATCCCCCCATAAGGAGGTTGAACCTAAAGGAGTCAAATGGCATTCAACCACCACTGTTTTCTTGTAATGGTTGAATTACAAGTTATGCACAATTGTGCTAGTTATTGTATATACTTTGGTTTATGTTTCTGGTTATATGTTTTTGTATTTGCAAATCTGATGGTTTTTCTGCATGGTATCGGTAGTTGGCGCTTAGGGAGGATGGCAAACAATATAAAATTGCAAGACAAAATAGAGGAACCTCCTATGTGCCCCAGCTATGGCATACAAATCACTTGCACACCTTTTATGCAGATGGCCCAACAGTTTAGTATATTCACACTAAATTCAAATGGCCTTAATAACCCTCATAGAGATTGGCGTTCCAAATATTGCACACATCACAAGAGGCAGTGGTCTGCCTGCAAGAGACACACTTCTGTGCCCAAAACCCACCTAATTTTGCATCACACAGGTACCCAGCAGCCTACCATGCATACAACCTAAACAAAACAAAAGGGTTCTGCACTCTGTTCCATGCTGATTGATTATTCAAATGTGATACTGAATAGAAGGACAAAGAGGGCAGATTGCTAATTCTAGTGGGTATGTTAGATGACAAGCAAGTAAAGATAGTGAGCCTCTATGCACCCAATGTTCACCAGTTAGGTTTTTACAGAAGGCTCTCAGAAAAATTGATAAACTTAAAAAGGCAAGCTTTTTTTATGTGGCAATTTCAACTGTGTGCTCGATCTGGAATTAGATGTGTCTGAGAACGAGAGTAGCTTTAAGTAACAAAATAGTGGCCTTAGTGCATCTATGGTCTTTATGACACATGGAGGTCTAAGTATCCTGAAATCAGAGATTACACTTTCTACTTAGGGGTACACTCCAAGTATTCTAGGATAGACATGTGCTTTACTGATGCTTCCACCCTTCAGAGCCTCACAGAGGTTACTATGGTCATACCATGCTCAGGTGTGCTCCATATTTGATATGACTTGCCTAGTATGGGGAAAAGGTATGTGGCGCCTAAATAAAGCGCAACTGGCCCATGGGAAGAGAGCAGAAGAAGTTATGGCAACGATAGTGAACAATAAAGATCAGACACTCCTATTGTGTTTACGTGTCTGGCCCTCAAAGCCACAGTATGGGATATACTCATCAAACAGGGTGCAACGGTAAAGAGATAATGAAGGGATGAGAGAACAGCTCCACAGGATCTTGTCTCAGGCAGAAGCACAGCATAAAAAAAAGACCAAATGGTCACAATCGCAAGAAACCTTTAAATATAAAGACACCATTGGATCAATTACAAATTACAGACCGCAGCATGAGGAAATTGAGGCTAAAATATTATACTCCAGGGAATAGAGTGGGAAAACTCTTAGCTTCACAGCTTAATAAGAAATTTTCACAGTCAAATATCCCTTACCTCTTAAACTCGACAGGGACAAAAATTATTAATCCTACTCGCATTGTTGATGAGATGGCCTCATTTTACATGTGCTGGCCCCATGTCTCACGGATTTATGTACATATTAGAATCTGGTAACATACACCTGGAGATGTTGGAAACCAATATCATCACACTCCATAAGCCAGGTAAACCACCTCCAATTTCAGGCTTATATCCCTACTGCATGCGCACACAAAATTGTTTGTGAAGGTAATGGCACTCCGATTAAAACCTCTATTGTCTATATTGATAGTGGCTGAGCATGCGGGATTCGTCCCTGGCAGACAAGGTGGCGATAATACCCGTAGATTCCTGGGCATTCTAGAATTGATTAAGAGGCAGAGTAGAGAAGTTCTACTGATGTCATTGGATGCAGAAAAGGCATTTGATTGCCTACATTCACTATACATGGCCGCAGTGTTGGAAACATTTTGAATACCCCATAGATTTAAACACAGCATTATTTCCCTATATACTAGCCCATCAGCCAGAATTATGAACGTGTTTTGTTTTTTTTCTAGGAAGTTGTCTGTCCAATGGGACGAAACAGGGTTGCCCCCTGTCCTCTCTGAACTTTATTATGGCGTGGAACCTCTGGCACAGAAAGTCAATACAAGCCTGAAGCAGCCTTGTGAAGTTCAACATTACCAGATTGAGTGCTCTCTCTTATGTCTTGATTCACATGCTTTTGGACAGCGCTAGAGAAACGGGCAGCGCATGCATTGTCTCAACATCAAGAGAAAGCGTAAGGAACAGAGAGCAGGGGGGCCCTGTCCAGACACAAAATCTATGCACCTGTCTGTCACTCACATAGACCATCTGGGCTAAGGGTTAAATGGGGCTTGACCCCACCAGGCACCCACACCGGCAGAAGGCTACCAGCCGTGGAAGGCCACAGGTCTGCAAGGCCTTCTGTTATGATCCAATGGGGAGGAACTTGAGAGCTCCCGAGTCTGTGGATGGAAGCTGCTAATCCTCAACAAGGCCTGGGACTGGAGGAATACCGTTACTGATTGCTGGTACACTACTGATCTCAGCGGAAATTGACTACTTCCTCTGTTTACCAACTATAGGAATTGGTTGACTTTGCACAGCATGGCTCATTCTTTAATTTTCCTGATCTCTGGTATCCCTGACTTAGCTGATATCTCTTGACCTCAACATATTTCTCGATTCTCCCTTTGGCATTTTGTCCTATAGGATTTAAGTGTAAAGGGAGGCTGTCAGTTATGTTTTTTGTCTATAGGAGGAGCTGCCTATTGTGTTGCATATGTATTTGGAAGACTGCTTGTGTTAGTAGTTTGTGTGGGGGAGGGCAGCTTGTGGTGTTTTAGATATGGGAGGCTGTATGTGGTGATTCCTGTTTGGGGGAGACTGCTTGTGTGTAATGCAGAGTGGCTCTATGTAGTAGCTTGTGTGTATGCAGAGTTGCTCCATGTACCTGTGAGTATAGGGGCAGTTTATGTAGTGTATGTGTGGAGAAGCTCTCTGTAGTGTACTATGGGTAGGGACTGTTTGACGTGTGCGTGTAATTGTGCGTCCAGGGCCGGCCTTAGGCTTCACAGCGCTCTCCCCCGGTCATCCATGTATGATGTAATGTTTGTGTTGTCTGTGTATGTGATAGTAGGTGTGATGACTGTGTGTGATATGTATGCTGTGTGATATTTGTAATGGGTGTATTAACAGTGTGTGATATGCGTGTATTGGTTGTGTGTGATATTTGTGCTGGGTTTATTGGCTGTGTGTGATGGTTATTTAATTCAGATAAAAACATGCATTTAGACCTGTGTGTGAATGCAGGTGAATATTTTTGCAGAGTTATGTGCACACAGTTATACATATACACTGTTAAATCCACCACATGCACACAGTCGCAGGCAGATAGTCACATACACAGGTACAGGCAGTAACGCACATACACCGTTACCGGTAGATAAACACACTCACAATTACAGGCCGACAGCCACACACACACACACACACACACAGCCACACATAGTCTTACACACACATACTTACATGCAGACAGCCACACACACACAGTCCGAGGCCATACACACACAGGAAGACATATACACACACACACACAGGAAGACATCCACACAGAGGCAGACAGTCACACACACAGGCAGACAGTCATATATACACACACACAGGCAGACAGTCATACACACACACACAGGCATACAGTGACACACACAGGCAGACAGTCACACTTACACTGACAATCACACAGTTACCTGTGGAGGCAGTGCAGCTCCTGGAGACTGTTTGGTGGGGAAGCAGGGACTCCTTCGTGCTTCCCCTGCAGCAGTTATCCGGCGCTTTTAGCTCTGCCCTCTGGCATGGGAAGCTCCGCCCTGTCGCACTGAAAGCTTTTTTTTTTTTTTAATTCCGGCCGTCCATGTGTGAGCTGTGATGGCCGCAGGGCGCCCCCTGGTCCATGGCGCCCTGTGCAGCCGCACAGCTCGCACACCCCTAAGGCCGGCCCTGTGTGCATCTTTGTAGATATTTGAAGTTTTTGCATTGATAGAGACTGGGATTTAAAACAAATATTGAAATAAATATATTCAATCCTTGTTCTTGCTTATCTTTGCCCAGGGAGGAGGAAATGCTGATGTCATGTGGTCCAGTGCTCGACAAAACACTCCTAATGGGTGCAGACCACAAGCACCCTGGGACTCCAGCATTAGACTAAGCTGAAACAGACAGGAAGATATTTCATCTTTCCATTAATTCACTAAATATTCGAGCACTCCATGTCCTGATCCACCAGAAATGTTGGTGCTGCATGAGTTGTCCAGGGAGATCCTTTAATCAAACCAAGCATTTACATGATGTCCAGTCCAAGTCTGTTTATAACCAGTTGACCTGTCTCAACTGGAGAAATAATTTGAAACAGAGCAACTAATGCCAGGCAAGTCAGTCTTTTCATGTACTTGCAGCTTTTATGTGGAAATAGGAACTGACACTGTAGGTCACCATACACCTGGACTATCAATTCACGAAGAGCACTCCAGCTCCAATACTTAAAACATATTAAATGCATTTGACCTCATTAGTATGCTGCAGTTTTGCATGTTCAAATCTTTAGTTTTTTTCACAGAATACTTAATTATTAGTGTCTGCAGACCGTTTAGCCCCTAACAGCACTGAGTGAGCTTCTTTTAGTTCACAACCTAGCTAAACAGTCAGAGAAACTATACACCGGTAATGAAATCTTTACTATATGTCTCTCTGTGTGTCCTGTCCTTCTGATGCAGGCTGTTTTGTAGATCAGATCACTCGGTGCTTTCAATGGCTGAGCTGTATAAATGCATTTTATGATGAAATCATTTTCTAGAGTGAGTTGGCATGGCTATAGAGGCAGGCTTATTGGGCAGCAGTCAGAATTTTTTTTCTTTTTTGTGCAAAAACTATAAAGATTTGAGCATAGAAATAAATGGAGCATTTTAACATATCTCCCAACATTGGAATGCATGTCAATTGGGTCAATCAGGTAGCGGTGGGCGGCATTTGGACATTTTGTGTGCCTAGCATTGCCCATTATTGGTGGCCCTGCCATGATGGGATGTGTCAGACTGGCATAAACACATGCCAGACTGGCTTACAGTCTCCAGGCTGGCCCCATTCGTGACCCTAGTACACAAAGCAAAGTGTGAGCACGTGTAATGATGTGCTAACTAGGGGCAATTCCATGGTATCCCCAGTTGCTGAATGGTTCTTGTTTTTTTGTTTTTTTTTATTTGCCTGGTCATTTAAAACCATTGGCTTGGCAATTTCAAAACAATTTTGCAGTATTAAAGGAACATTTTGACCTGAACTAAACTTTATCCATAGTCCATCTACACGATGCAGACTTTGTGCAATTTTTGTTTCTACTGTGCTAATAAGTATTTTGACATTATCTTATTGACACTGATAGGTTGAGTGCACCACATAAGCACTCAGTCAAAAAATAAAGAATTTGTGTGTTTTATTTGGATTGGGTATATCATTTCATTAAAGTAATTAAAAAAAGGTTATGCAACAGTGATGTTTGTACTATTGGAGTATAATGTCATTGGGTTATGGAGGAATAATAATAACATAAACCTTCAGACCAAAAATCCAGTAGTTTCTGATTGTAGAAACCCTAGATTACCAAATTTCACATAATGCACAGTTAAAATATATATTGTATATAAGATTCTTTTAATACTTTTATAGTTATGTTTTGTATATGTTTATATTCATACACAGTGATATTGAAAGCAGTTCATTCAATTTAAGAAGCAAACACATGTGCATTTTTTTTTAAATAACAAGAAAAACGTAGTGAGAGCTGGAAAATACTCCATGGTGGTAAAGAATCTGCTTGACAATTTCTGTGATCAAACTGACTTTGTCCACAAACATACGATATTGCAGAAAAGAGCAAGGAAAAACAAATTGAAGTTCTTGCCACATTATTGCACAATGGAACTCAACAAATAAGGACCCCTTTGAGATTTTGTGAAATGCTTCCTTAAGTTCTCTTGAAGTCTTTTAAAGGCATTGTGAATCTGCTGAACAGTTATGGTGACCTCTTTCTGTTTTGCTAACTTATTTGAAATATTCTCTTCTGTCCCTCCGAAGTGGCTCATTAACAGGTATTATGACAAAAGAAGATTATAAATCTATATTAGATTATGTAAATTTAGAGAATTATATTAGATGATGTAAAGTAAGAATGGTAATATATCAGTTTTGATTAAAAAAAAAAGTACATATACAGATTCAATATTTTTTCTTGTTGCTGCTTTGGGAGATAAAGTAGAAGGGTTGGAAGGGCCATGTTGAGAAGAGGATGAGTATAAAGAAACAAGGGAGGCTATGGAAAAATAATTAGGAAAAAGAAGGGATTGTGAATAAGGAATGGGGGTTGTGTAACTGAGCTCCTTGTACCCCTGGCTGGGTATCTCTGCCAAGCACCGTTTCCTAGCTGGAACAGGGGGAAAAACCGCAGCACTTCTGCCCACAGTCGCCGGGACTTGACTGGGGTCCTAGAGCCGAATGGGGAACTCGCTCTATCCACCCCCAGGCACTGGACGACACAGTCCTAGGAGCTCTAGTCCTCACAAAGACTTTCTTAGTTGAATCCTCCACACTGGAACAGTGATTAGCCATCTCTCCTCCCAGTAACCAGACGACACATAGTTCTGGGAGTACAAGCTGGAATGTTTTAATCTGGTCAGATGGGCTGCTTTTATATAATTTGTAGACACAGTTAAGCATACCCCGGACACTCCCACACAACAAGATAATCTATCATCTGGACCTGAGAGGGGACTAGTTACCAGTCCCAAACTCCTCCCCTGTGTCTGAGAGATAATGAGTCAGGAATTGAACAAACTCAATTATCTCCAGGCACAGAAAACATACAATATTACAACACCCCCAAAATACTTTTAAAACACTTAAAAACCCCACAAAATCGATCTGGGTGACCAACATATCCAAAAATCACCCAAATCAGTTCAGGGGTTCAGAATTTCCCTGGTTGTCATAATTTTGACCGACTGTACACGTGGTCCTATACCCAAAACAGTTCCATGAAATCAGTGCTAACGGTCGGTCAAGTTCGGCAGTTTAAAAACGAACAAGCTACCGAACGGAATCCATAGTTCTACCCTGGAGCTTGTTCACCTTGTTCGTGGGAACGTTTCCACCGAACAGTGCCCTTTTAAGTCGTATAGAATCGAATTCAGGCGATGGTGGAAGTCCAGCGGTGTTTGGGAGTTTGTGTCCGATTTTAGTTCCATGAACTCAATGACCAAGAACCGCTGCTTGCGTTCATGCGAACAAGATGGCCGCCACCTCATGGTCGTTCATATGAATTGCGGCCACCCAGACAAACAACTAGAACACTGCGGTGGAACTAGTAACAAGGTGTCAGTTGGGCTTAACAAGCTCCCGGGTGTTTTCTGGTTCGTGCAGTTGTTCGGTTCCTGAACAGCATAATCCTAAATCACACAAACAGAGTAGTTTGCAGGGTATTTCGTATGGCCCATAATCCTGGTGCAGGAGGCTGGCTAGCAGGCTCCTCCAGGAGCTCGTGGCAAACTACCAGACCACAGGGCGTTTGTCACAGGTTGAAAGGGAAGAACCTTCATCTGGAGGGGTAGGATGAAGAAGAACGACCAGTTCTGGCTGGAGAAAATAGGAAGAGTGATGGCAAGGATCAGCAGAAGTAGATTCTAAACATGGAAAAAAAAAAGAAAAACTGAAAATACAATATATTAACATTGACATATATTATTGTAACAAAAATTAGGTAAAGGAAAAATATAAAGCAGATGTGTCATTTACCAAGAAGTCGAGGACATTGACATCCAGATGCCAGGTTCTGTTCTGGCCTCCCAATGGCATTTAGTTGTAAATTAAAAATTGTTAGTATTACTATATATTATAAAATGTAAAGCATTGCAAAGAAATCAAATTACAATTAGACTTAATAAGGTTATAATAGTTGACCTTACCGTACCACTTTGAATAATGACGACAATCCTCTCTCACTGTGTTTCATTAAAAAAAAAAAAAATGTACGTGAATTCTATGCTAAGCTACTACAGAGAGTGATGCAGATTTATTTAAAGCAGAGTACCTGAAATACTAGATCTCCCTCATCCAGATTTTCTTCTTAATAGAAAGGGAAGGCTTGCAAAGACAGCCTGAAATATGTTCTGATGACAAAATCTGATGAAGATTATTATGTGTTCTGGGTTTGGGTGTGTTTTGTTTTTTTGGCTACAGAGGTAAAGAGGCACCCCCTTTTTGTATTTCCAATCCCCTATAGCCCCTTTTGTATTTTCCCTCTTTTAATGACATACACTTTAGTGCACCTTATCCCCATTTTGTGTCTTACACTCACTTTTAGTGTATCTTTTCCCCACTTGTGTGCCTCCTGGGGCGCCTTAAGGTAGCTGCCTGTGCTGCAGTGTATGTGTTCAACTGTATTACTGGGGTCAACTACTAACCTCTAACCTAAAAATTTTGTAGGATTCTCTAGGTAAAGGAAAACTCCAAACACCGTAACCAATGTAATTATTATGGTGCATGCTATTCTCCCAGTGTAAGTAGTCAAACCATTTGCGAACAATTTAACAATTTATGTGTGGTCTGTCTGGCATCGGCCGAAGCGTCTTCTGGAACTCATACACATTGCAAGCGTGCTTCCATTAGCTCATTTGAGCTGAGCTCTGCTGTGGGTCTTTGGCTGAGTGCCTTACTGCACTGCTGGGCTAGCTCAGTGCAGACATTTCCAGGGGAAGAGGAGATGGTGACCAGTGCCCGACTGACTCCAAGTAAGTTGTCAAACCATTCGTCAACAGTCTTAAGATAGACACTGGGAGGGCTCGAAGGCACTCCTGGCTATTATGGAGCTTGGAGTGTTCCTTTAAAGGAAGGCCGCTATTATTGAATGGTGCTTGATGCTGATCATATCAGTATTTTGTCAGAAAGACTGGTGACTGTAATGAACATTCTTCTACTTTCATTTATACTATTCCGTCCATAACGCCACTACAGGTATTGGAGACTAAGAATCTTGATCACTGTGTTCTAGTTTTCCATTGCTTTGCTGTGGCATGTAAGATTATATTTCCTGCATTAGTCTTACATTGTGGTAAACTTAAACATATGACATGTATGGACTTAGAATATACATGTCATATTCTTTTAAAACTATGGGCTGTTTTGTCATCCGTTCTGTCAAACCTTAGAAGAGTAGCATTAGTTAATGTCTATTTTGTGCTGACTAAAATAAAATGTAAAATATTTATAGATGTGACTCGTTTATCTTGTCTCATGCACTGTTACCCTAATGAAGAATTTATTGCAGCTATTTTATTGACATGGCTCTCTTCCAAGTTATTGAATTGTTGGATGTATCATCTGGGAATGCTTAGTTTGATTTTCCAACTTGTTTATTAATCTTCTCTTGCCTGCAATCTACAGGACGACATTTGGAAATAAATTTGCTTTGCACAATATTTAATACTCTCACGTAAAATGCCTTAATGGTTCTATTACCAGTGATGTAGATTTGGCTTACTGCCAGGAAGTTGACATTTATTCACCTTATAGGCATATTGTGCTTTTTGTTTTTTAATTTATTTATATACATATAACATATGCACTATCATTTGAATGTATTTGAATCTCCATAGACACTTAAATTACCAATTTATTGACATCATAAATTGATACCAAGCAGAAGACTACAAATCACTATAAAAAGTGGCATATTATTTTTCAAAGTGTATGTGCCAAACAGCTGAACCAATACCAGCTGCCTTTGATGCAGTTTGGAACTGTTGTGCATTTCTTTAAATCTAGTTTAATTGTATGGGGGAAAAAAGTGTTATAAGCTTTAACCTTAAAGCTGTTTGAAAAAGAGTTTCCAGTAAGCAGTGTATGCCATAGTTAAAGAATGAGGTTGAGTTGCAACTAAGATAAGTTGGTTGAAGAGAGATGGCGTGTGAACCAATATATAAATAACTGAGGTCTAAATGTTTAGAAGAGCACACTTGCACAATGGAACACTGTTTGAGGAAATACCTCCATGACATTGTGCAAAAACATAAGTACAAAATCAGTGCATAGAAGGGCTGAGAAAGCATCGTAGTCAACATCAAAATGGCAAGGACATGCATCTAAGGTTTAATCTTAGGATGCATAGTAAATGGTCTGAAAGCAAACAATCGCAGTAATAGAAATTAAGCAAATATGGTTAAACACAATGGGGGAGATTTATCAAAATGCTCTGTTCTAAATGGTAAACAAGATTGAAAGTGTAGGAGTCACCAATGGAATGTGTCTTCTGGTTTCCAAAGTGATTACCCCACTTTTAGTACTTTAGAACTCCTTTGAGAACAGAACACATGATAAATCTCCACTGTTGAAACATGTGAATACCCAATTTGCACTACTGCAAATCTGTCTGCTTGGCTCTTTCCCATCTACCTTTTGTCAGTGTTAGCCTTGTGTGAATGAACACCAGGCATACTAATAGCAGTGTGACGGAACCTCTGGCCACCTAGTTGGGTACATGTTTCCCCCAAACCCCCACCCTCTCTCTAAAGACTATTATCACTATCTAACCCTCCAGCCCGTGCCTACCAGCCCAGTGCCCCTCTGCAGGTGCCATCTCAGAGTCAGTGTTCATCTGCCAGAGGGCCACTGCTGTGTGCCTGACAGAGAACAATCCTGAACTCCCTGTAACTCTAAAGCGGATCGAGGAGTTGCCGCGATCCGTTAAAACTTTAAACAGAGCGCTCTCGGTCCCAGGACCATCATTCAGGGCGCTTTTTGGAGGGTTAACAGAGGGCGTGACGAGGCATTGAAAGACACCAAGGACTTGGGGGAGCTCCATGCACCTATGGAAAGTGCTGTGTTTTTAGGTGACCAGGGAACTCTACCCAGCACTCTGGAACTCTGCCTGGATTGGAGGCTAGCCGCGTCCCACTGAACTTTGGAATTCCACCTAATTTGGGCTAGCCACATCCGATCCAGGTGCTTTTTGGACAGAATGGGTGCTCGAGAGCTTTGTTATCTGACATGTGTTTTTGGGGAATTACTGTATTGCACTTTCTGTGTTTGGGAGATAATTATTTTAACCGAGAGTTGACTCAATTATCTCCCTGATACAGAGGCACCTGGGTTGGCTTGTGTCAGTTTGAATGGAAACCCCATTAAGGGGGTCTGTGTATACATTCCTGTGCTTTGTCCCAATAAACTCAGTTCATTTTCACCCTTCACTAAGTCTTAGCTAGTGCATGGGTGAGAGCGGTATACTGTGCAGGAGAGCTTAATCACTCTGCTTCTACACTAAGGGAAGGGATGACCTAGGTGGTAGTAACTCAACTACTCGTTAGTATATGGCCACAAGCTGCACTGGCCATCTCCGCTTCAGGTAGACCATGCAAAGAACAAACAAAAGTCCTGAGTGTTGAAAAGAGATGGTGTGTAGACTAATATATATTATTGCTTTATGCAGCTAGCATGTTTAATAGTGCTGCACTTTTTGTCAACTTGGAACTTTGTCCCTAGGAGCAGAACATCAGTAAGCATATCTGGGATCATGGGACAGTATTCTGAATTCAGGACTGTTCCTCATATCACAGACGTACTATGTAAAATAAAGAGGTCAACAAGAAACTGCGCTTGGGATCAGATTCCCTGACCCCGTATTTTATAGGAAATTTGGAGCCGAATAATGTCCTAATCCTCTGACAAAAGGACTGCTGTTTTTACTATAGAGATGTGCTACTGATACAGAGATCAGGAACTTGGTGCTTGTCACAGATAAAGTGAGCAAATCAAGTGTCACTTGTTGACTATTGCACCACAAGGTGCCTGGACATGTAGACATGCTGATCTCCAATTTAGCAGTCAGGTAGTGACTACATGATCTGAAGTTTATTGTGTTAAAAAACCTCACAATTGTCACATCTTGAGATGCAGAGTTGTATCTGTGTGCAGTGTCTATGTGCTTTAATGTAAGGGTGTTTTAGTATAGAGCATTTGCTCGTGGGTAAGTGCAGGGGTGTATTTGTTTGTATGTTGCTGTTTGGATGCAATTGTGTATTTGTGAGTAGTTTTCCTGCCACTCACACAGGTACTCACAAACATTCACTGAAATGCACACTACCACACACACAAATACTGACACATGGACGGAAATACAATGACACACACATAGAAAATCACAGACTGAAACCCAAACACCAATACACTCAGTCTCAGCCTGACTCAGAGTCTAGCTCTCCCTCTTGCTTCCTGCCTCATAGGCTGTGACACACACTACAAATGTGTCCCTTGGACTCTGGTGAGGCTGGTTGCATATGTACCTCCCTGTGACCCTGTCTCGCTCTTTTTCATAATAGGAGCTATTCAAAGAACATGTTTTCCTTTGCACTAATTATCGCAGGTGGGCAGGTGGTATTCCCCTAACCCTCTGGTGCCCTGTATGTTCACAACAGGCTAGTAGTTTCACCCCTGAGTGAACTCATGGCAGTTCAGTCTCAGCTCTAGGAAACAATCAAAGTGCAGTTGGCATATAGCAGATGTAATAAGTCATGATCCATCATAATTAATTTAAAGCCTTCCTCTATTCACTTCTTTAGGCGACTTAAAACACTCAGATATCTTGGGACAGTGAATGCCGAATACTGCTCGGAATTTTCATCTTTAATAGAAGTGGCTCATTGGAAGAGACCACCCAGCTGTGTGGTTTGTGTTTTACATTCCCCAAAGGAGGGTAAATAAAGGAATGCTTTTCACAAAATAAGGTGGGTTAAGCGTTATTACCTGTGCTTTTCGCAAACTGCATGATCACTTATTCCAAACAATAAATACAGATAAACATATAGATATACAGTCTATTGGGTGAATTGTTATAGTTTGTATAGTGAGTTTCTCAGTGATTCATAAGGGTACATAACAACCATCTAATGCGTGCTTGTATAAAGAAAATCTTTTTATTTTTTCTCTCTCTCTGGGTGGTATAACTAATGCATTTATTGTACAGATTGTTTCTCTGGTTTATTTGACTTTCAAAGGCATATTTTTCTCTTGCGGCGGATGCAGAATCTGCAAGACAAAGAACATTTGACAATGTATTTGAATGCGTGACATTTGGGAGCTCTGCCTTAGATTATGCTGCGTTTTATAAAATATGAAGCTTCTATTGTCAAGGATGGAATAATATGTTCCATAATGAATAAGCAGCAATAAATTGAAACACTAGATGTCACCACTGTCATGGATATTATAAAACAAGTGAACCTCTTATTGATGCTTTGGTTCTGAGTGTTCTATTGTCGGCAGTGTCAGTGACTCATTTAATTGTGTCACATTGATTGTACACACTTTCATGGAGAAGGTCATATTTAACCAGATATGTGATGGCAGGTTAATGCAAATAGTTACTCATTTTGAACACTGTATCCTGTCTCCTGGTAACACTGTTAAAAAATGGTTTATTTCTTAAACTAAATTACAATTTTTAAAACTATTATCTGAAATTAAAGGGGTTTAGTAACGTTAAAGGGACGCTAAGGGACACAACACCCGACAGGGGCCCTGATGAGGCCTGCCTGTCTATTGGGTTTGTCTTAAGAGTATGGGCTACCCGATGAACCACAACACCTGTGGGGAGGTGCATGCTATTTCCAATTTCCGTACAATAATTTATTCATAGAATGAAAGTTTGCTCAATAAATGTGTATCTGTAATGTTTGCAAAGCATAGTAAATGTAAAAACGTGTACTTGTTTGATTAAGGTTAATTTGTATATGTGCTGGCATTTTCACAATCTATATATAATCAATATATAGATATATATTAAATGTTGAATAACAATTTTTATTCAAAGGTATAATCGTCATTCATGTGCTTCTAGAAGACATATCCACTTCAAGATTTCCTCATTTTTTTCAACCAAGTGTAACTTGAGTGTTGAGTGACCTGCTCTCAGACATAAATCAGTTTACACAGCAGGGAAAAAATAACATTCTGGGAATCCCAAGATCAACAACTCATATAGGGAGCAAAAAGAAATATGCCCAACATTTACAGAAACACACCATAGGAAAAAATACTAACACAGCATGTAGATATTGGGAATACAAATACAGCTATTATAAAAAGAAACAACAGACAATCACTTTAAAAGGTTACTGCAAGTCTCCAACCACCATGACCACTTCTGCTTTTAGAGTGGTCATGGTGATAGGAATCTGTACTACAATTGAAAAAGAATTCCACACCCATTGCTGCAAAGCTCCACCCACTATGTACCACCCACATAATCTCCGCCTACTTATCATAGTGCAGGTTACAGGGTCTACTTAATAAAGAGAGAATTACAGGGAATTGAGATGGGAATTTTAAACTTAAGGCCAAAGTAGCCGAGTTGGAAAAATTCTCCCATTCAGCTGCACTATTTCGACCAAAGGTTTGAAATTCCCATCTCAATTTCCTGCAATTCTCTCTTTATTGAGTAGACCTTTATAACACCAAGTTCCCACCAACAATACCATGGATACTTGGTATGCGATCGATACATTCGCAGCACAGCATCTATATCAGGCAGGTGCATTTTATCACTTTTAGGTGAGTTGGGTATTAGTGGTGGCACTGTCAGTACAAGTACAAATATAGAAAGACCTTGTGCAGATGTGCTTTAGTCAGAGAGTTGTGTCTATACCATAAAACATACATTCGTACATAAACATAATTATATTGGGGAGTGAATATAGTAAAACAAAAAAAACAAAAAAAGCTGGAATAGGAAATTAATGGTATAGAAGGAGAACTTTCAGAATGGAATAAATGATAGAAATGGGACCAAAAGGAAAAAAATAGGAAAACGTGGTTCAGGTGACCATAGTGTCCCTTTAATGTGAGGTAAATTAGAGATTAGTGCCACTAATAATATACTAGATTGCCTACTTACCACCAGATGAGGACAAGAGGATGATGGCTCCACTGGTCTGGTGTAGAACATGCTCTCTGGAGGCTGTTTGTAACTGTGCTCACCAAAATCAAAGCCTTGGGGGAACAGGAAGCAGTTCCATTTTTGCCCCACCTCCTCCCACCCCAGGGCCTGATGGTGAGTATGCCTACAAGTCCTGTCCATAAGTCCACCTACATGGCCCACACACAAGTTTGCTCACAGGGAGTGGAGTGTGTTATTTTAGAGGATTTAATGTGTGTGCTCATGGAATGCAGTGTATAGAATTGTACCAGTTTGTGTAGGAGATATAGTAGATGCAGAGTGTTTGTATGTAAGGGATAGAATGCAGTGTGTGTTTATGTGTAAGTGTATGCATTGTGTGTTTCTGTGTATGTGTAAGTGATGCATTGTGTGTTTCTGTGTATGTAAGGGATACAGTGTGTCTGTAAGGGGTGCATTGAGTGTGTGTGTGTGTAAGGGATGCATTGTGTGTTTCTGTGTGCAAGGGATGCAGTGTGTGTGTGTGTGTGTGCGTGTAGGGATGCATTGGGTGTTTGTGTGTGTGTGAATTGTGATGCATTGTATGTTTATGTGCGGGTGTGTATCTGTGTGTGTAGGGATGCTTTGGGTGTTTCGGTGTGTGTGTGTGTGGGTGTAGGGATTGTGTTTCTGTGTGTGTGTAGGGATGCATTGTGTTTCTGTGTGTGTGTGTGTGAGAATAGTGATGCATTGTATGTTTATGTGCGGGTGTGTGTCTGTATGTGTAGGGATGCTTTGGGTGTTTCTGTGTGTGTGTGTGTTGGGATGCATTGTGTGTTTCTGTGTGTGTGTCCCTTAGTATTTTTCTCCCCCCGCCCCAACCCCTCTTTAGTGGTGGTCTTCCCTCCCTGGTGTGCCTCCTACCTCTCCCCTCCCTGGTGTGCCTGTTGTAGCATGGCCGAGCGGAGCACACCAAGGTACAGGAGCATCTGCTTCCTGTACCTGGCTGGACTGAAAGGAAGTGCTCTCTCTGTGAGCACTTCCTGTCAGTCTGGCCGAGTACAGGAAACTGCTGTAAAAAAAACTCCTGAAGAGCACACATGCTAGGACTATCCCAGGTGAGTGAATTACTCGGATAGTCTCCAACTTGCCGGGACTGTCCTGGCAAAAACGGGACAGTTGGCAAGTATGTTAAGTATGTCTGTTTTCAACATGCGCTTAGAGCTCACCTGCAAAGGGAAGCCTTGATCTTCTCCCCACTGTGCATTGGTACTTTCTTTTTTTTTTTTCTTTTTTTTTTTATCCCCTGCCTCCTTCTGTCCACTTATACTCCCTTCCTCCATTTCATTCCGGGCTCATAGTGGGCGCATACATTTGATTGGGCCTCCTGAGGGCAGCAGTGACATAAGACGTGGCATAGAAAGAAGCACATGGAGCTTTATCCGCCGCTGCATTCCAAGTAAATTTATTTATTTTCTTTTTTAAAGCTTTAAAGAAGAGAGGCTAATTAGTAATGCCCAACAGGGCATGGTAAATACAATGATTACTTATAAAAGGGTAGACTAACCTTTTAAATAAGTTACACATTCTGAGTTCTGCAGAATGTGTCCATTTTTTATGTTATATTTATTGCACAAAGCAACTTCTGGACAAAGTTCTAAAAGTAGAGCAATCAATGTGAAAACTCATATTCCTGGTGAACCCACTTCTTTTCATAGTAATTACTTCACTTTTTAAACACTGCTGAAAAATTGCACTAATTTTCTACTAGAGGCACTTTTGTAGAGCTCCCAGTATGTCTCCTGATTGTAAAGCTATGACAGAAATCTAGTACAATACTATGATTAGAATTCTTCATTTCTAATGAAATCCATAGCTAGCAGTACTGCACAGTGGACGGATACACATATAGAAATAGCTGGGGACATGTAAGTATAAATAACTGCGCTATTTACAAACTAAGCATAATCCATCAGGTCTCATTTTTGCTTTGGTCAAACTATTCTTTTTTTTAAATTCTTTATTTTGGTACAAGTTTACCCATTCAGGAACAACTATATATCTGTATATTATACATTTACATAATACAACGTAAATAGCCAGCTTGCAGTTTTTAAAATTTTCTGAGGTAGGACCAATATCTTCTAACAAGGGAAAAAAAGAAGAAAGAAATAAGAAAGAGAGGTAATGGGGAATGGCGGCAGCAGGAGGGGCAGGGAGTTAGAAGAGGAGGGAGTCGCTGCCACCGAGGAGAAAGGACGCTTATACGGCTGCATGCTTACTGAGCTTCCTGATATGAAAAAACTCTTCCTATAATGCGTGCACTTTTTGTAAGGAATTTGAGTTTCTAATCTGTGCTGTCTGTTTGTCCATAAGGTAGTTATATTTCATTTTTTGTATCACACAATCCACTGCGGGAACCTTATTATTCAACAAATGCTGGGTGAGAGCTCTCCCAGCTGCTAACATGATTTTCACTGATGATTGTCATTCCTGTAGGTCATAATCACTGTATGCTGTAGCTAAATTCAGGACCAGCGGAAGAAAGGAGAAGTGGTGACCAAGGGGCACTAAGAGACCTTTCTACCCATGACACTGGTGTCAAGAAGTGGGATCCTCCTTGCAAAGCAGGTCCAGAAGGATGTTCAGCGGAAAAGCACAGCAACCAGAATGGCAGAGAGCTACAGGCAACTGACCGTCCTAGCCCTACAGGAGTTACTATTTTACAAAGGTCTCGATCCAACAGGGCTAAAGAAAACTGAGATGATCACAGCCCTGGTACACCTAGACCAGGAAAGGCCAGCCAGTCCTCTCAGTGAATCACCATTCTCATTGGTATCCCACACAGGATAGGATGAGATCTCTCAGAGGGTAAGAGAACACCTGGCTTTCTATGGCCCAAACCCGCCACCACCGGAGGTGGTTGATTGGATTATGGTGGCGACGGAGAAAGAGCGAGCTGAAGAACTTGTCTTAAGTCTAGCTGAAGACACTGGCAGTATTCCTGAATATATGGATCAAGTTAGGGACCATGCAGAATCCTTGTCTGAGGAAGAGTTCCCGTGCAGAGGATCAGAGAGATGGCCCTGCTTTGGAGGCAATCCCTCAGCAGATGAAGGAGTGCAGAATCCTAGGTGCATGACCTCAGAATTTCAGCAGTGACTACAGAAAAGCTATGTTCCAGTATGATGGCACATTCCTGGGAGAGTGTGAGCAGGATCTCTGGGACCAGATCCGAAAACAACTCTGGAGTGAGGTCCTCGAGGAGGTACAGCTTCCACAGAAAGAATCCCTCCCAACCTCAGAACATCGATATCTAGGTCAACTGGATATGTGGATGCTGTTTCTGTCAGAGCAGCCCCTGGTGCAATGGCTGAATGAACTGGAGAGACTGGTCTGTAAAGAATTGTGGCTAGACAATGTTTACCGGGCCTTAAGGTGGTATGCGGTCCAGTACCCATGGCTCGCAGACGCAGACCCTTTGGAGGGAGGACTATGTTGGACCTGGCCTATTGTGGGAGGCCTTTGTGGAGAGGAATGATTTTGGGAGCTCAGCAGTGTTCTGATTCTGGGACATCTGGGAACTTTACTAGGTTTCATAGAGCTATAATCACTATTGCTGTAGCTCATAAACACTGTGTGCTGTAGCTGAATCCAGGACCAGCGGAGAAAACAGAAACGGTGTCCAAGGGACTCTAAGAGACCTTGCTACCCCGTAACAATGATCCTATCCAATCATTTACGCTCATGAGAGGTTAAAGCCTCTAGGGGTCTAGAAATAAAAAAAAAAAAAAACAACAACCAGGAATCTAAAGTGGATTGCGAAACTATTCCCAGGATTCCCTCCTGGGAACCGAGGAAACAAATTGTCTTCCAATTTCTTTCCATTATTGATGAAAAGGGAGTTCCCAGCTTATCACATGACATATCACTGGAAAAAGTCCTCTTTACAATACAGCAGGTATTGATAGAGTAGCTCAAAAGAATAAAAGGAGATGCATGTGAACGAAATGTTCAGTTCAGAGGACACAAGTTAATGGGCTCGGTCTCAGGAGGATATAAGAAGAAATGGGGTAGAACTGTAACATTTTGTTTAGTTTCACTGTGTCCATTTAATCTCACATTGCAAAATCTTGTATAGTACAGGTAGAATCTGATCCAGGATAGTGGAATATTGAAGTGCAAAAAGTGATACAAAAATAGCGCTGATTTGCTACCATTTTATTTTAGTGTACATAAGGATACATCTGTATAAATCTATGCCATTGTTGCAGGAGCATTAAACATTCCTCAATTGTAGAAGGTTTTCATTTGTTATGCAACACAGTTTTAGTGTGCATTAGGGTATGGGAGATATTATATTGCAACTGTAAGTTATCATGTTAGGGCGTATAATTGTGAAATTGCTTGCTCCATCTCACCCACAAAAGAAGACATATCCATCTTCTTCCCGATTCAATTACATGTATTTTATATTGCATCACTTGTATGAACAAAAACAAATACTTTTACTGGACTTTAAAAGATTACTTCAAAATTTAAACTAATATTTAATGTTATGTGTCTTTAATCTTCCAAATGCCAGAACCCCCTGCAAACTAAAATAAACAATTTAACTCTTAAATCTTTTTTAACTCAAGCACCAATCAGTGTTGCTCTGTTTCATTCTGGGGAGATTGTCAATGAGAGTGAAATTTCCCCTTCCTGTCGGTAGAAAATTGGTAAATGTGCGAGTATTGCTGCAAATGTGCCAATCAAAATGGGGTGAGGGTCCAATGGAATGTTTCTCATAGGAAAGCACTGACTCATGCCTCCCTACAGAGACTCTTCACTTCCCCTTAGTGAATCATTGAAGCTGAGTAAACCAGGAAGCTCTTCTGACTTGATTGATAGGATTGTAATCACAAAATGCCTCAAACAACTTCATAAAAGTACAATACTTTTTGGAAAGACTTTATATATATATGGGAGATACCACAAAGGGTAGTTGAGAATGACAGGGCTAAGATCCTGCAGGATTTCCATTAATTAATTACATTAAACAACATATCACCTGCACCACAGATAATATCATAAACACGATTACATGTCTGTGTGGATTATCATGTGTTGGCAAAACTGATCTTACCCTTAGGGATCACAAGAGTGCCGAGCTTATACTTTCATCAGGATCAAATATCCTGTAATGACTAAATCTGAAACGTCAATAATAAAGGTTTTGTTTTAACTTTGGATTTTAAAATATATATATTGAAAACAAAATAGATTTTCTCATCAGGGTAGTATTTTTGTGTATCCACCATATGTGGTGATATATGCCTCTATGCCCACACAGTCTCAAGCATAGGTCTGAATACGTTTGACAAATTTTATAATATCCTCCTCGGAGGATTTTATAAAATTTACCAGAGGCCTTGAAGTCTGAGGTTTCTGCACATTATCTTCTGGACAGAAATCTTAGATGTCCTACTTTGAATCTTATGAAGTCAATCTCTCAACTAGGTGTTACAGTCCTGAGTCCTTCTATCATAACTGGGAATATTACTACCTTCACTGTTCCAGCCCACGATATGTTTCCGTATTCTCCTGTTCCTTCTTCTTAATGTTAGGATCACTGTGTATTGCCACATCATCATCATTGCAGTCTTCCATTGCTTGTCTACCACCACAATGTCAGGTTGGTTTGCCAGTACTTGCTTGTCTGACTTGATATGAAAGTCTCACAGGAGCTTAGCTTTGTCATTCTAAACTATCCTTTTTGGTACCTCCTATCTGGACAGATCCAGTGCATATTATGTGCAGATGTTTTGTATCTCAGCAACTTGGTTGTAACTCTCAGTATATACTATTTCTGTTAACATCTTGTGCCCTGCAAAGATGCTGGATTGTCTCAGAAGCCTCTTTGCACACTGTACCTTAGGGTTCTCTCTGATGTGATAGAACCCCGCTTTGGTTGATTTGGTTGTGAGTGCCTTTGCCTTAGTGCCTCAATGCTGTCTTTCAGTACTGATTTTTTTCAACCACTGGTAGTATTTCATAATGTGAGCCACATCTGCTGTTGATGGTACATCCCATGGAGTGGTTTGTCTTGATATGTAGCCTCTTCGTTATCTGTATCCTCTGTCTGTTATTGTCTCATTTGTTTATCTTTGGGAGCCATCTTCATGATGTTCTTGTGGTTGCGCTTTGTTTCATCCAGGAATGTGACATTAACACTCATCATGCCCTGACCTCATTCCTGGATTTTGGGCGGAATCCTCCATTCATAGTGTATATTTTCCGGGTGCTGATATTCATGGTGTCCAGCTCTACTCCATGTGTTGGTAATGTGGTTCTTGTTCTTGCCATTGAAGAACTTGCCTCTTCCTCATAATTCCAATGTGCTTGTGATATCCTCAGGAACTTGTAGCTGTTTTCTATGTCTCCTGTTTGGTCTTCTGGTACTTCAACTCCTTCAGTTCTGATAATCCTCCCTCTTTTTGATTTCATAAGCCCTTACTTATCTAGTCCGACATTCTGATTTCTGTGCTAGTTCGGTGGATCAGTGAGTTGATGTGTTGCTCATTCTTGGCATATAGCTTGACGTCTTCATTATGATCTGGTTAAGACATATGCAGAACAGCATTGGAGATAGCACATCACCTTGGTATATACCAAATCTGATTTGTCCTGTAAATGGTTTCTAGTTTTGTTCTTCTTTACCAACCGAGTTCTTGTTGAAGGCTTCTAAAGTCTTGTTGACTTTGAATAGAGCAGAGAATTCCAACATCCATGTGTGCGGCATTGTATTGTAGGTTCTGCAGTCAATCCAGGTTGTGTAGTCACTTTGTCTTGGAAGTTACTACATATATATCTATATATATGTACATATATGTAAGTCACATATACAGGGCCATCATCAGAAATTTTGGGGCCCCTAACACAGCTCAAGGTCTAGGCCCCCAGGGGACCCACCCTTAGGCCCCGCCCACAAGGATGCAGTGTGTGTAAAGTGGATATAGGGTGTGATTGTGTATTGGATGCAGTGTGTGTAAAGTGGACATGGTGTGTGTTAGTGCATATGTAGTGGATGCAGTGCGTGTGTGTGTGTAGTGGATGCAGTGTGTATATACATATATGAATATGTAGATGTGTGTGTGTATATGTATATACATATGTGTGTGTATTTTTATGTGTGTATGTGTATGTATATATGTGTGTGTGTATATGTATACAAACACAATTTGTGTTTTAATGTAAGCATGGTTTTGTATGGAGTATGTAATGTAGGCATGAATTTGTGTGCAGTGTATACACTTCCACACACACTTGTACATATACACACACATATACACAGAAACACACAATGGCACATAGTTACACCCACATACACCCACAGACACTCATACACATTGACATAGAATACATACACTCTCATACACATTGACATAGAAAACACACACGGACACACAGCTACACACATACTGACATACACACATACATACTGACACATACATACAGACAGACATGCAGACAAATACATAGTGACATACAGACTCACACATACATATTGACAGACAGACATACAGACACAAGCACACATAATGACAGACAGACATACAGACACACACCCATACAGACATACAGGCACACACACACATACATACTGACATACAGGCGGACATACACACACAGCTAATTTTTCAGCCATCCTCCTGTTTCTTACCTTTTTGCTGCAGGATGGTGACTGGGGCTGATAGGATTTGGCTGGCTCCCACCTCCTCTATGGCTCTGTCCGCCCGTCACTTCTTTTCAGCACTTACTGATGGAGGCCCTGGACATCTCTCTCTCTCTCTCTCTCCCTCTCTCATATATATATATACAATATTTTTGCAAGTACATTTGATTTGTACTGCCAACTGCAATAAATTATAATGTACAACCTGTGCCTTTTCCTTTGAACTGTTTATTCATATGTAATCTTGTCAAACTGTACTTGTTATTTGTTATCAAAAAGTTAAAGAAAATAAATATCATGAAGTAACTTATCAAATGCCAAAAAAATAAAAAGCAATGAAATTTGAGGATCCTTTTAAGTATTAGATATGGGCCAAATGGGTTGCTTGCCCCCCGCAGTCTTAATCCTGACTGGCTTTGCTGTTTTTCAAAACAAAGAAGTGATTAAAACAGCTTCTTACTCATATGCTATTCTCTGAACTCGTTACTTGAAGGCAAATAAACTGCCCTCCATCATTTTCAAAAAGAAACAATGTGCTGCAAATTCAACTACAGAGTTGAAAAGAATAAATAAGAGATTTTAATAAGAAGAACATAAGAGTTACGATGAATACCTGGTGAGTAAGAGAAAAGAAGAATATCAATAAGCAATAATGATTGCATATTT